TCAGCACCCGCGCGTCCCCTGGAGAGTGAGGAGCTCGCCGCCGCAGCTGCCGCCCAGCGAGGGCCAGCCCAGCCTGGCAGGACGCCGAGGTAGTACACACGCGACGTCTGCGTCGTCATCGCCGTCGTCGTCGTCGGCGTCGTCGTCAGCGTCGTCGTCGTAGTCGTGTTCGTGGTCGTCGTCGTCAGCGTCGTCGTCGTTCTCGTGATCGTGGTCGTCGTCAGCGTCGTCGTCGCGGTCGTGGTCGCGGCCGTCGTCGGCGTCGGCGTCGGCGTCGGCGCCGGCGTCGTCGTCGTCGGCGTCCTTGTCGTTGTCGTCGTCGTCGTCGGCGTCGGCGTCGGCGTCGGCGTCGGCGTCGGCGTCGGCGTCGGTGTCGGCGTCGGCGTCGGCGTCGTCGTCGGCGTCGGCGTCGGCGACGTCGTCATCGTCGTCGCGGTTGTCGTCGTCGGCATCGTCGTTGTTGTCGTCGTCGTCGCGGGCGTCGTCGTCGTCGGCGTCGGCGTCGTCGTCGGAGTTGGCGTCGGCGTTGTCGTGTTCGTGGCCGGCGTCGTCGTCGTCGTCGGTGCGGGCGTCGCCCGCGTCGGCGTCGGCGTCGGCGTCGGCGTCGTCGGCGTCGTCGTCGTCGGCGTCGTCGGCGTTGTCGTCGGCATTGTCGTCTTCGTCTCCGTCGTCGTCGTCGCGGTCGTCGACGGCGTCGGCGTCGGCGTCGGCGGCGGCGCTGGCCAGGCGCAGGTCTGGAGATCCGGGCGCCGCGGTCCCCTCGCGCCAGGCGTCTCCAGCGTCGAGCCCTGGGAGCCTCAGCGATCGCGCCGGCTCGAAAATGCCGCAGGGCTCCGGTGGTGGTTCTTGACTGGACACGCGCGTTCCACTACTCGCAGATGGACTACTCGCAAATGGCCTGGATCCGCCGCGGATGAATTTCGTATATTACATCAGGAGGAAGACGGAGGAAGAGCAGCTTAGAAAATAACTTTTGGGAAGTCCACGCGGATTTCTTGGATCTGAGCTGGACACCCCTCCCTGGCGCGCTAGACGCGCCAGGGGCGCCGCCAGGGGGCCCCAGCGCAACTTCAAGAAATCCGCGGGGAGCGCCAAAAGTTGATGCTTTAAATCAGCAGACACCTGTACAGCAACTCTCCAAACCTCTCCCCGGGTGCGTTCTGGCAGGGATGTCGAGGCGAACCCCGCCAAGGCGACGAGCACTTCCCAGGAGGCCAGACAGGGCGACATCGAGACAAGTGTAGCGGCATCGATACCCCTTCCACCACCGAGTACAATCGAAGCGCTGCCATGCGGAACCCTGAAGAAGGAACAAAGCCCCTCTCTTCGATTAGTGAAACTTCGACGTCGCACAGAAAACCTCAGGTAAACCTAAGACAAACTGTGAAACAAGTACCCATCGGTCGGAAGAAGTAGGTAGAAACATGAAGTAGGAAGGCGTTGGAAATAGATTGGGCTTCCGCACGCCTCCTGAAGAGGAAGGAAGAGGGAAAACCACTCGACTCTTGAAGCAGGAAGGCGCTGAAAGTATATTGGAATCTGGGAATCCAAAAATACCTACTTTCAACGACCGATGGGTAAGGAACACTGAACCCCACCCCAACGAACAGGGTTCCTCCTTCCGCGGCCCGACTGCACGGTTGCTGCCCCCCCAGGCAGCCCAGCGAAGCCCAGCCCAGCCCAGCGGCTCAGCAGCACCTGGAGGAACAAAATAAGCAGCACGGCCATGATCTCTCCGAGGTCCGAGCGGACCTCTCGGATCGGCGCTGGCAACCCCCTCCCTGGCGCGCGGAGCGCGCCCGAGCGCCCAGGGCGGCGCCCGGAGGCGCCGCGCCCGGAGGCGCCGCCAGGGGGGGGGGGCACCGATCCAAGAAATCCGCGCGGGCCTCCGAGACAGCATGGCTGTGCTGCTTCGGGGGCCCACTAGGTGGGGGTCGGAGGATCGCGCCGCACCTGCGATGCATCGGCGATGCGCCAGCGACGTCGCCGAGGCATCGGCGATGTCGGCCTGGGGAAATCGGGCTCCACGTCGAGCCGCATCGCCAATGCATCGCCGAAGCGATGCGATCCCCCGATCCCAGCTACTCGGACCCCATCTGGGAAGCCTAAACCCAGACCCCCGACGTCGTGATTTTTTCACAGCGTCGACTCACGGAGGTCTGGACCTTTTCCCTGGAACCATATCTTCATCCTGAGTCGCTTTCTGACGGTCCTGAGGCCCGGTAAGGGCCCCCGAAGGCCGATTGCCCAAAATCTCCCGTCGTGATTTTTTAAGAAATCGAGCTCTATACACCGACGCTTTTTCTGGCCCTGCATTGAAATTTGCACTGCAGAGCGGATCCTGGTGTATACGGGACCCTTGTGTGTACATTTATCGCTGTTTCCCCGGGGCATCTGGGAAAACAGTACACACCACACCACCCCGGCGTCGCCCACGACCCTCAAAAAGTCCTGGGAATGAGCAGCCCCGCCCCTGGTAATGTATATGCTCAGGTCTCCTCCTCCTCCTCCTCCTCCTCCCCCTCCTCCTCCTCCTCCCCCTCCTCCTCCTCCTCCTCCTCCTCCTCCTCCTCCTCCTCCTCCTCCTCCCCTCGTCCAGTTTCCTTCGTTTCACATCGCGAGGGGGTCCGGTGAGTTTTTCACTCTTCGAGCACCCCCGCGCAGCCCAGCGGCGTGCCCGCCGCCCCCTCCGCTGGGCGGCAGGCTCCGACCTCGGCGCAGAGGGCGAGCTCGGCGCAGATCGCGGCACGGAGGGCCTCGCCGGCGCCCTGCAGCTGTCGAAAGGCGCCGCCGGAATCCGCCGCCTCGTCCTCCTGGCGGCGCGCACAAGGGGAGCACAGCCAACCCGCAGAAGAAGGACGCGCCAGAGGGTCCCCCTCGCGCTGTGGAAGAAGCACGGCCGGAGGGCTCTCTCTCGAGCTGCGGCCTCCGGGAGCCCTGACCGGGCCATGGGACCGTGAGAGAACAACCCAGGATGGAGGGCAGGTCCCAGGGAAGGGGCCCAGACCTCTGGGGGTCGACGTTGTCGACACTGTGCGAAAACATCACAGCCCTTGTGAGCTGGCCCAGCCTGTAGTTGCACCCTGCAGCCAATGAGGTCTGCCCGTAGGCCCGTAGGTTCTCGCCTTCCCCTCCGCGGACTGGACTTTCCCACATGTTCCTTGGAATCGACCACCCCCCTCGCGCCATATCACCCTGCGCGCGCCGCCGGTCCTCGTCCTCGTCCTCGTCCGAGCGGGAGTACGTGGTCAGCTTGAGCCATACCTGTGGCGAACGAACAACACACACACACACACCCATACCCATAGGAGGGTCGGAAGGAGGAGGACTGGCTAAGGCTGTCGGACCCTGGGGGAGGCTCCCGTTCGAGCCGGGACCCCCATCCGACTACACGCACCCATAGCCCCCTCCGACCCCCCTGAAGGTATGGGTATGTGTGTGTTGTGCGTTCGTCAACCTAAGGGGAAGAAGCACGATCCCTGAGCTCCTGAGTTCGCATTTTTGTCCGCGCCGAGCGTTTCTGCCTGGTTTCTGGCCCTCGGACCCTACCCCGCCCAGAAAATGTCGCAGAAAGATGGGGCCCAAGGCTGCGGAGGTGATTGCTCACGATGGTTCACGACCATGACCAAGATGTCTCGGGATCTTGTCGACGCCGATCTCAGTCCACGCCGGCCTTCGCCGATTCGCGACGCGAGGACGATCCACGAGCCGACGGTGACCAAGATGGACGGTGACCCAGACCGGCACCGACGTATCCGCATTGAGGCATAACCATACACTTTCGGATGTCCGCGCAGATTTCTTGAATCGGCGCGGGAAGGGCCCCTGGCGGCGCCTCCCGGCGCCACCCCTGGAGCTCAGGGAGGGGATCCCTGCGCCGGTTCAGGAAATCTGCGCGGAGCTCTGAAAATGTTCGTTTATGCCGACCTTCTTCCTGAGAAAAACGATTACCATGACAAAGACTGAACGTGGAAACTTCGGGGCCGATCTTCGTCCTCGTCCATCTTGGTCATCGTCAACTCCTGGATCACCCTCGCGAAATCGGCGACGGCAGGCATGGACAATGACCGAAATTGGCGTCGACAAAATCTTACGACATACAGTCGGACTTGATTGGACAGCACACGCGAGAGGGCACAAGAACCTTGCGAGGGCCACGTTGCCATGGGAATGTCGAGGCACGGGTCGCGAGACACAGGACACAGGAGTGCCCTATGATTTGGCAATGGTCGACCTACTAATCAGGGCCCGCTGTATCGGTCGTGGTCAACGTGGTTCCTCCACCGAACACCGGCTCGTCGGTGACCGGGTCGACGCCAACCATGAGGCCCTGGACGCACATCGTGCTGCGGAAGAGCCACCCCCCTTTGTTCCTGACTACCTACCAGACCACCCCAACCCAACCCGAAGACCCGAATTTGACCCGAATTTCGGGTTGGGGGGGTACGGATACCATGTGTTTTTTCAACGTTCCCCGACCCCCCCCACTGGAAATCGAGGATAAATTTGGGCCTTCGGGTTGGGTTGGGGTGGTTTGGTGGGTGGTGAGCTCCGGTGCACGGCCCGGGCGAGCAGGGGGCCGCCGGCCAGGTGCGCGCTGCGCACGGCGTTCTGCACCTCCAGAAGCAGGCAGCATCCAATCGATAGACCGACTCGCATCGGAGCGTGCGTCGGAGCGGGCTGCCTCGGCACGGCGTCGAGGTCGAGTCTCGGGCCGGCCGCGGCGGGATGCCAGACCACGCGAGGCAGGCCTCGGGCCGCACCGCATCGCCCGAGCAGCGGCGCCGAAGCGGATCGGGCCGGCCGGGATCGACACCGAAGCGGATCGATCGGGTCGAGGTGGACCCCCGACCTCCGGGTCGATCTCGTACTCGCAGCCCTCGGTCAGGAGTCGGGGAGACGACTGCAGCAGCTCCGCCTCGCTGTCCGCCCCCCGTGCCACGTGCTCGGCGTAGGCGGGCTCCGCCCGCAGGACTGGCCCCCGAGGCCCCCGGGCACGCCCCCCTCGGAGGCCCCCGAGAGGCCCCACGGGCCCCCCACAAGGCACCCCCGAGGGGCCCACGAGACCCCCACAGGGGGCCACATGCGAACCCGACAGGGCAGTTTTTAATACATTGGATGTTTCAAAATATTGGATTCTTAATACATGATTAATGTATGAATAAATGTATGCATGAACTCATCGCCGTTTTTATACTAAACCCTGTATTTTTAATGCATGATCCGCACGCGGAGCATGTATAAAAACGGCACTGTACCCCTACCCCCCACGATTTCTGAGGGGGAGGGTGGGGTTCACTTCGCTCGGGAGCTCCCGAACGACGAAAACCCCGCCCTCCCCCTGAGAAATCGTGGGGGGCAGGGGTAGGGTTCGCATGTGGCCCCCTACTGTGCCCCAGGAGGCCTCCCCGAGGTCCCCCTGCAGACCACCCAGGGCCTCCCAAACGGACCTCAAAGGCTCCCCAGAGAAGCCCCGACACGCGTCCTCAGCTCGACCTCCTTCCAGATGATGCGCCGCAGGGTTTGCCGCAGGCAGCTGGATATCCTGTGATCTCCTGGAGCGACTCCGACACAGCGAGCAGGCGCTCGTCAGGGTCCGTGGGGTCCATAAGCGAGGCAGCGTGCGCGCTGTTCTTGACCACGCGCTGGGCGATCGACACGATCAGGTCCTTCTGCAGCTGAACGTCCAGGCCTAGGAGGAAATTTGCGAACACTCATGCCACATGAATCTGTCAATGACCCCCCCTGTAATCAAAGTTGGCGGTGGGTCTAATGAGTTGCACTTCGACCGCAGTTTTACCCGCGCGTGCCAACTTTGAATTTGTGGGAGGGGGGAATGTCCACTAATTGTTTCCCTCTACCGTCTCGCTCGTCCAGCGAGGAGGTATCCGAGAATGTCGAGATGCGCCTGTCGAAGAAGCCGTCGCAGGCGGTGCTCGCGTCCGATACTCCTCTGTCGCCAAGGGTACAGAACTTGTTGAAGTCTCCGAGCTTGGCGTTGCCGGCGATTGGCTTGTTGGATTCGTAAGCGTGGCTGGAGAGATCCCGTGGGCTGGTTGGTGGCGTGGCGAACTGGACATGCGCCATGCCGCGGGCTGATCGGGATCACACTGTGGAGAAGGCAATGCGAGCGCACTCCTCTCTTGACCCAAAACGGTTGAGACAAACTTGCTACGAAATACCTTTTGTGCTGTTTTGGGTTGAGATGTGGTGCTGTGCAATCCTTCGGGTCAAACAAGACTGAGACCTCGGCTCAACGGTTGCGAAAGTTCACTGACGTAAGCCATTTGGATTTGCCAGATGAGTTCGAAAAAGTTCACAAAGTGCTCTCCGTTTCGAAGAGGGTGTCAAAGACAGTTCAAGACTCCCTCAAGATGGCCAGAAGACGGCCCAAGAGTCTCCAAGAGGCCCCAAAAGCATCCTCAGAGCCCCAGAGACTGCCCGAGGGGGCCTGGGAGTCCTCCCTCACAAGATGGCCCCAAAGACCCCTAGCATGCCCCGAGGAGAGCCCCAAGAGGCCCCCGACAAGACCCTTTTGAGCCCGGCTTGGTCTCCCTGATGGACACACGGCACCAACACGCTTCAACGACAACGCCCCGCAGAACAGAGGCATCTATACTTAGCTCCGAAGGGGCTGGCGGTGCGACGGGGGGGGGACCAGCTCAAGGGGGGGGGGGCGGGGGGGAACATCGTCGAGCTGGAGTCGGCGATGCATCGCCGGTAGATCGGCAATCAGCCCCCGACAGCAAAACCCCACGGCCCTTGGCAGGACGGGGCTATCGAGCCCCTGTCGCCGATGAATGGGCGATGTGGGGGCTGATGCATCTCCCCCTGAGCCTATCCCCCCCTAACGTTGCCCGCGAGGAGCAACTAATAGGTGTCCCAAGCCTGTCTGACACGGGCCCGCAACTCGGGAAGACCGGCCGCCGCGACCTCCTGCTGCGACGCCCGCACCCGAGGGATCCTCGATGCAGGAGCTGCTTCAGGAGGGTCCCTGGCCCGAAGTGTCCGCAGGCGCTCGTGCCGCTCCAGGGGTCCATGGGCCCCCCTGGGCTCCATGAGGGGAACCTGGAGGCAGAAGGAGGAGGAGGAGGAGGAGGAGGAGGAGGGAGGAGGAGGAGGAGGAGGCCAGGTGGGCTTTCCAGAAGATCCTTGGGAAACTCTGGGGCAGGGACACCTCTGGCACCAACAATAAACGAAGAGACAGTGGCATAAACTGAATCTTCCCGAGGGCCGAACAGATGTCTTGGATCGGCGCTCGAGGCGCCGCCAGGGGGGCCCAGCGCAGATGAAATCTGCGCACCATGTTTATGTTTATACAGTGTTCCTTCTTCGACTCTGGGACTTGTGAAGGGTGCTCTGAAGGCCAGATGTGCCCACCGAGGAGATCTTGGGGACACCTTGGGCCAGGACCTCATCCCGTGACATCCGCCGATGCGATTTCTCGGCGCGCGGCAGAGGTCTCGACCTCTGCCTTGGGGGTCAGCGTTGATCCCGGATCCAGTTTTGATGGCGCCAGGACCCGAAAGGCAGCTTCCGAGAGCCGAAGTCGAAGAGAAGCAGCGGCTGACAAATCGCACCCTCGGAGATCAGGGGACGCCTCGGCCGCCACAGCACCGGCAGGAGAGCCCAGAGTCGAATCGAGGAGTCGGATCGGCAGTCGACGCAAATCGGACCGGAAGACATCGGCAGCCGAGCCGGGAAAGGTCGAATCGGCGGAAATCGCCGGGCCAGTGGTCTCCCGCAGCGAGGTCGCGGCGCCCAGATCGGAACCCGAGAAGCCGAAGCGACCCGGAAGCGGAAGCCGTCGACGTCGAACCGCATCGGGGGCATCGGAAGGAGCCCTGAATCCGCACCCTCAAACCTCGCAGTCCCGGCTCGGGAGCGGCCAAGAGAGGGGCGTTCAAGAGGGAGGGGGGGGGGGGGGGGGCAAATCATGGCCGGCGGCATGTGCGCGGCCCAGGGGGCGGGGGAACCAGGGACGTAGCGAAATAAGCAGGGGCGCCGTGAGATCTGGGGACATCTCATGGCCCACGCCATGACGTCCACCCCCCCTCAGCCATCACCCCCCTCCTTGCCGCCCCCGACCGACGGCGCCGGCGCGGGGCGGCGGCGGCCGCCGGGGGGGCCTCCCGGCGCCGGCGGAGGCCGCGGTGGCGGGCCTGTCGGCACCGGTGGAGGGCCTGCGGGGCGCGTTGTCGGCGCCGCGGCGTGGAGAGGGTCGTCGTCGCGTGCCGCCGCAGGGCGGCGGCGCGCGGCGGGGCGTGCCCCGCGGATGGCTCTGCGCAGGAGGGGAGGAAGCAGACAGACACAACGAGTCGTCGCTTCCCACGAGAAGAGAACGGGAAATCTGGGAAGTGGTGGGGGAGACAAAACCCAGAAAAGAGCCGAAAAGATGGGGAATCCTGTCATATTTGTGTGTATGTGTACTGGTTCCTGAAAAGCCAACCGACCTGCCCAAAAGCGGCACACCACGCAACGGCGCGACAGGAATTGACACCAATCGCGCGTCTAAACACGCAGGTTTTACGAACCCGCAAACGGCCGAACAACCCGTCCTGGAAAACAACGAAAGTATTGGCAAAACCATGTTGTCACTGAGGCGCGTCGATTCCTGAGCACACAACGCAGCCTAACACAGACCGACGCACCATGGCTTCCGCGGCGGCGGCGTTTGCCCCGACTGAGAAATCTTCTTGTAGAAACCAGGCGGAACCCGATCGGCGAAAGCCTGCATGAGACGATCGTGCCTGTTGGCAAACTTATTGTGCCGGTCCTAATTAGTATCCCATTCCAGCTTGAGGTGTTTGACTTCCTTTTTGGCTGCGTCATCATAATCGTCACCAGCATCATCAACACCACTAGCATCATCATCAGCAGCAGCATCACCACCATCAGCAGCAGCAGCATCCTCATCATCATCATCATCATCATCATCATCATCATCATCATCATCATCACCAGCATCATCATCATCATCCCTATCTTCGTCGTCATCACCATCGTCACCTTCATCATCATCATCATCATCATCATCATCATCGTCGTCGTCGTCGTCGTCGTCGTCGTCGTCGTCGTCGTCACAATCGACATCGACATCATCATCATCATCATCATCATCATACCATGCATCGTCAGAATCAACACCATCATCATCACCAATATTAGTATCAGCACAGTCACCGCCATTTTCAGCAGCGTCGCCACCGCCACCCTTGTCATCACCATCAGCATCATCGGCAGCAGCAGCAGCTTCATCGTCGTCATCGTCATCATCATCATCAACAGCATAATCAACAACATCATCATAATCAGTATCGATGTTCTCATCGCCATCGTCAT